CATAAGGTGTCAAAGGCGCTCTCGGGCGGCCAACAGCTTAGGGGCGGAAGGCGGTGGACGTGGTCAGCGGAGGGGTAATTTTTGGTGGTCTGTGGCTCCCTCGACTGGTAGTCTCTTCGCTCTCCCTTCGCCTTGCGGGAGGCGGACGTGGTCTGGGGAGGCGCACTTTGAGGTGGTCACAGGCGTACCGTCTTGCTTGTTGTTGGGCGGTGGTGTCGCGGCGTTTGCCAGAGGAGGATTGGTCTTGGTGCCGGTGCCGCTCGAAATCGGGCACTTCGGCTCAAACCGCCCGCTGCAGGGCCCCTGGCTTGGCTCAAGAGCAACTAGTACTCACGCCCAAGCGATGGCGGGCGGCATACCGCCTTTCCGCGTACCGCAGCGACGCGGTCTTGCGCAAGCCCGACTTCAATGAGCCCACGGCAACCGCCTGGAGTGGAGGGCGCCGTGCGGGTGGACCTATCGATCCCGATGAAGGGACCCGCCCACCCCGGAGGGGCCGTAGCGCAGGCGGAAAAATTAGTAGGCCAACCTGCTTTGCACGTGGCTCGAACCACCTAGATCTCGTCCTTTGCTCGCTAGTCTGTGTGCTCAAGCTTGCCGCCTGTAGCCCCGCCTCACCCATGACGACCGGCAACACCGGGCATCAAGCGCCTACCACGGGGGCGGGAACCAGTCCGGGACTGGGGTGCCGCTCGCTGGGGCGTCCACTCTGCCAACGGTGGCAGGGGCCCGACTTGATCGCCCAAGCGGGCGCAGGGCCAGAACTCGACGCCTACCTACAGGCGCGGAACATTCATCGCACAGCCACCCTGGCGGTGATGGGCGCCGACCTCGACCAGTTCAAGAAGGCTGTCGTCGCTCCATGGGCGGCGGGCTACACCGACTCGGCCCCACAAGCCGCAGGACACGGCGGACGCGGCCGTGAGTGAGGCGATCCTCATCCACTTGTGGCTGGAAGCCAGGCGCGCAACACCGCCATTGACGCCGCCACGGTGGCCAAACCGGCCGTGCCGACTCTGGGCGCCCTTTCAGTGGCCACCGCCTTCGGGCGGAGAAGTTTCTCAGAGAAGGTGCGCAAGGACTTCCCGCAGTGGGCGGACCAGATCGAGCTCTACAATAAGCGCCTCCTCGGGAGCGAGCGCCGCGAGTTCCCGGTCAAGGAACTCCTGGGCGCCGAGGAGGTGCTCGCCAGGCTCTGGCATGAACACACGAAGTCCAAAATGTACAAGGCGCTCACTTTCCTCTCCCGCCGTACCTGGGCGGCGGGCGGCGAGCTAGGGTCGTGGGCGACGAGCTCCACACCGTGGAGGAGAAAGAATGGGAGCCGAAAAGCATGCTGACCGTCCTGGACGGGGCGGATCCTCCTGCAATTCGGCACAGAGGACGACGTGAACGCCTATTGCAACTGGTTCGTGGCCAAGGTCCGCGCCTAAGGGGCGGACAAACTATACCAAATGCAACAATTCTGGTTGCAATCCGCCTGGCGCATCGCCATGGGCATGCGGTCGGGGCGCACATTTGGCGAGGTGACTCAGGAGATTCGTTCCGACCTACCGTCTCTTCAGGAGGCACTGGCGATGCCCTTCCCAGATAAGAAGTCGCCCAACTCAGGCGGCAGACACCGAGCAGCCCAAGGGCCGCGGCCGCGGCAAAGGCAAGGGCAAAGGAAAGACCGGCAAGCCCAAAATAGGCGACCGCCGCAATCAGGGCGGACAGGACTCTGAAGAGGACTGGGGCGATCGGTCTTGGAACCAGTCCAGCTGGAGCCAGAACCAGGGCTGGCAAACAATGGTCCTGGGACAATGCCAAGAAGGAGGACCGCCCCAGAAAGGGCCAGAAGCGCTAGGGACAGCGCGGGCCCTCGCCAGAGGCAGAGCAGCCAGGGGGGGACCCGACCGCCCGCCCAAAAGGGTGAGAGGCTCGCAAGGCAAGGAGCAGCCTTGCCCCGAGGCAAACCCCGTGGGGCGGGACATTGTGCTGCTCACCGCCTTCGATGGGATAGGGGCGGCTCCCTACCTCATCGAGCAGCGCTTTGGACAGCCACGCCTTGCACTGGCGTGAGAGATCGACCAAGAAGCTGCCATGGCTCGCCCATAGGGGCGACATCACCAAGGACGACCCGAAGAAGGTCGCGGCGACCATCCGAGAGGCCAAACAAAGAGTGCCTCGTGTTGTTCGGGGCGGCCCCGCCGTGCCAGGACTTCTCCCCGATTGGGCCCGGGGAGGGCCACCAAGGCGCAAGGGGACGCCTCTTCTCCGTCTCCGCCGAGTTCATGCAGGCGATCTTTGACGACCTCCCGGGCTACAACACCGCCTCCATCTTCGAGAACGTCCTCATGAACTCGGCCGACGCGAAGACGGTGATGGCACATTACCACCGAAGTGCCAACGGCTGGGGCTACGTCGTCCGGGTGGGCGACACCGCGTGGTATGACTCCCCTGGTTCGTGCGGAAATTCGACAC